CCAAAAATGTCGCCGTACTGGTACTAGGTATTGGTACTCGTACCGATAGGGTTACATACGCATTAGGTACTCGAAATATGTACCGGATATTCTTTATATATTCTTTGGCAGTTGGATACTCGATGGGTACTTGATGGGTGATTCATGGGTATATAAGGAGTATACCAAGGTATGGGACATTGGTGGGGATATGTTTAATTTATTAGAGAGTTTTTATTTACTTGAAATTGTAAATCTTTTACTTGATGTGTCAAAAATGAAGGATGTATTATTCAATGACGAAATTGATGGAAGTGAAAACTAAAGTTTTAAGTTTTTAAATTTTGTTTAACTTGCTTTTGGAATAAAACTTTGTTTTGTAATTTCTCCCATTTAATGGCATTAAAATAGCTTATACGCTTTGCTTTGGTGTTGGTATTGTTGAGCTATGATTTCTATTTTAGTTTTCTAATTTCTATTTTTAGTTTTGGTATTGAACTTTGATTTGCAGATTGAATCTCAAACTATATATTATAAAAAATAAAAATTTATTAATGTACCCCAGCCGTACCCGTATCCTATTTTGCTTAGGTCTTGCTGTATCGGCATACCCATATCGTACTCGTACCCGTATCTGTATCCGCACCCGTGCTTCATAGTCTATTAGTTTATGTCATCCCTTCCCCTAACAGTTCTTGGTGATCATATCTTTTTTCTTTTTCTTTTTTTTCCTTACAATTATTGCTTCTATAGATTTTCATTGTTCATTACCAAATCATCTTGGCATGTAATCTCTCAACTGATCTTCAATTGGTATTATTTATACCATTTCACAAGTATATTCATTTTTAATTTTATATATTTTAGTTGTACAAGGCATTCATCTAAGTATTATCATATCAATTATACTCATTTTATGAAAGTATTGTTCTATGGTACTTCCTAGGTGTGATAGGTCATAGATACAAGTTTGGTGCAAGGAAGAGAAGGAAGAACCCAAGTGCTTTTCTGTTTTACTTAAATTTAGGCATTTCTCATGTATTCTTAGTTCATCCTCATAATAAAATCTAGTATGTAAAGAGTATAAGATGCACAAACTTGCATTACTCGGAATTTATTTATTTTTGCTTCCATTGTTTTGTAATTATATATATGGTCAAAAAATTTATATGAGGCTATTTTAATTTTATTTAAATTCAGATTTATGGCAACAATCTTTATGAGGATCATACCACATTCCCTTTTTTTCACCCAAAACATGAGTGATAAGTTTTCTTGTTTTTTTAATAAATTTTGGTTAACCTTCTTCGTAATTATTCATGTTTCAAAAGTATTCACTCTGTAGAAAATAGTTATGCATGAATTAGACCGTTAAGGGAATCTCCTACAAAATGAATTGGACTTGTTTATTCTTTGAAGTTTATAGTTCTGGGGAGATAAATGGAAATTCTCATTATGCACCATTGTTTTTTTCTTCTTCTCAAATGAGGTACCTACTAACTTGAATTATTGCAGAAGTTCATTCCATCTGAATTTGGAGTGGATCCATGTAAAACTCGAATATCTGGCCTTGATCACAACTTCTATGCGAGGAAAGCAGAAATTCGATGTCTTGTAGAAGCAGAAGGCATTCCATACACCTACATCTGTTGTAACTTCTTCATGAGCTACTTACTTCCATCAATAGTTCAGCCAGGCCTAAAGTCCCCTCCAAGGGACAAAATCAAGATTTTTGGTGATAAAAATGCAAAAGGTCTGTTAATCAACATTTACCTTGGGTTCATTTCACTTTCTTGGTGGGACACTAAGGTCTCATAATCTTCAGAAACTAGAAAATTTCAGCAAAATTTTGTTCCTTTTCGTTTCATCCTCTGCAGGTGTTTTCATGAAGGAAAGTGATGTTGCTTCCTTCACCATCAGTGCTGTGGATGATCCACGCACATTGAATAAGGTGCTTCACCTGAGGCCTCGAGGAAATGTTTACTCCATGAATGAGCTGGTTGAGATTTGGGAGTGTAAGATTGGGAAGAAGCTTGAAAAGATTTATGTGCCAGAGGAGGAGCTTCTCAAGAAAATTAAAGGTATGTCACTAGTGTGGATAATGTGTATCTATTATACACAAAGGCCTCATTTGATTGTCAGATGGGATTATTAATAGGATTGTGAGGATAACTTGTACTAATGGGATTAGATATGATAAATGATTGAATAGATGAGATAAATGATTAGATAGAGGGGTCTGCATGAATTTGTATTTCTCCATGCTTGACTGAGTCGCTTGTTGCATTTTTCAGAGACTCCTTATCCGGACAACATGGACATGGTTTTCATATATTCCGCATTTGTAAAAGGGGATCATACGTATTTCGATATAGAGTCATCCGGTGGGGTGGATGGGACAAAGCTGTATCCACACCTGAAATACACTACAATAAGTGAGTATTTAAACACTTTATTGTAAGATTTTACTTTTTTCGCTTTTTGTGAACTAATTGTAACTATTTTTTTGCCTCTCCTAACCAATGCATCAAGAATTACATTATGTTGCGAATACGAACACAGATTGCTCATATGCCATATGTTTAGAACATCTTCAATTCTAAATGCCAAATTGAGCATGCCATTCCCAAATTTTTGCTATATACTACAGTACAAAAATACCAAAATTTGTCAGCCTTGCTACAATGCTTGTGTTATTTTTGGCGCAACCATCATCTCATCTTTCTAACCACTATTGGATCATAAAATATAGGGAAAATTACGCTCCCCTCATAAGGTTTAAAGAAAATACAGTTAAGTCTCATATTTTTAACATAATTATACTGACCTTCGTCAAGGTTCTAATTTACACAATACTTGCACTTTTTTTTATCAGTAATTCGTTAGTCGTATGAATGAGAAAAATAATATTATTATATTTTTTCTACTATAATGTAAATTTATTTTTATTTATTTCATTGCATGTTTGCCATTGGCATTGGTTTTGGTAACTTTAACAATATCAAAAAGGAGATTAATATTATTATATGAAAATTATGTGATTAATTATCAGAAGAGGTGATTGTAGTTTACCCGAAAATGTCTAATAATTAATAAAAATGTTAAATTTGACAATTTGTCAAAATTTCTCTCTGAATTTATTTCTAAAAGTGGTCAGTTTTTGTTCTGGGTGGAAATGAGATTATTTTGCATTTGGTAACACATTGTCAGGCACCGAAGGCTTTTTGATGGGTGGCTCTAAATGCATCCTAATATTTTGGTTGAACACTCTATTTTTAAAATTTTTGTAATACAATTTTATTCCGTAGCTAAATGACCAATGATGTTGATAATAATGGTGAGTTTAAGTGGAATAAATTAGACTTTTGAAGTGAGGAAGAAAATGAAGAGAAAATAATTGAAACTTGAAGAAGAAGATAAAGAGATTTGAATATAAAAAATATGTATAAGTGATTAGAGTGTATCATGACAAAAAGAATAATATTTTATTTTAAGGTTTAATGTGTAATGTCCTTGTTAATAAATTTATATTGAGGTATAATAAGAGTTAAAATTTCAATATTTCGCTCTGTCTTAATTCTATTTTTTGGTGTCCTAATTACTTTTTCAAATTCATTATTTTATTTTATTTATTTATTTTATTTTTTTGTGTTGATTTGAAGAATTTGTTTAATCTAGTTTTTTTTTGATCACTCCCGACCAGAGATGGTCGGGAGGAACCTCTGACGATCAAGTCAGAATGCTAATCAACCATATAGGATGTGTTTGTTTGGACGGATTGAATAAGGGGAGATTGTAATCCATCGGACTATTAATCCTAGGATGTATTGTACTCGGACTATTTGGTTGGACTGGATCTATATCCTATGTTTGTTTAGTCATGGGATTAGATGTCTGGATTGGATTATTTTTAGTGAATCCAATGTTTGTTTGAGATACTATGGAGAAGGATAAATGCTCAAATGATTATTTTATCCTTTTCAATTATTTACTAAGTAATAGCAATATTAAACATAGCTTTCATATTTTAATTATTTTTAACTAGATTAAATAAAAATTTATTTTATTTTATTTTTTGCACAATTAAATAAATTTATTTTTAAAAAATTAAATAAATTAAATATCAATAAAAATATATGTTATTTTTTAATTAAAATTTTAAATAAATTTATTGGATTATTAGTCTTGGGATATATTGTCCTCGGACTATTTGGTTGGACTGGATTTGTATCCTATGTTTGTTTAGTCATGACATTACATGTCTAGATTGGACTATTTTTAGTGAATCCAATGTTTGTTTGGGATATTATGGAGAAGGATAAATGCTCAAATGATTATTTTATCATTTTCAATTATTTACTAAGTAATAACAATATTAAACATAACTTTAATATTTTAATTATTTTTAGCTAGATTAAATAAAAATTTATTTTTAAAAAATTAAATAAATTAAATATCAATAAAAATATATGTTATTTTTTAATTAAAATTTTAAATAATAATAATTAAATAATGAAATAAAATAAAATATGAACAAAATTTTAAAATAAAACATCAATAAAATTTAAATAATGAAATTAAATAAAATATAAACAAAATTTTAAAATAAAACATCAATAAAATATCTATAAAAAATATTTTAAAAAATTAAATAAATAAAACAAAAATAAAAATTGAATAAAATTATTTTATTTTATTTTTAAATTGAGACATTTAAATTTTATTAAATTTTACTAAATATAATACATAATTAAATACTAGAGGGTAAAAATGTAATTTTATTAGCTAATCCCATGGGATGAGTTATCCCATGGTTTCTACCCTCCACCCACCTACCCAATGGGATACCATAGTCCCACAAATATTAGTCCGAAACAAAACTTTTGAAACAAACAACGGACTAATAATCCAATCCCATACCCAATCCTTCCACAACAAACACCCCCATAGTATTTTGTGAAAGGAGTCTTAGTTACCTCTTGTTTGTCTCCTTACTTTTTCTTATTCCTCTTTTAATAGTATTAATATCTTGGGCCTCGGTCGTCGAGTTAATATCTTGATTTGAGGGCTCTGCTTGCTTTTGGACTTTAGTCGGGCAAGTGGCCACGTTGTTTTGACTCGTTACCGTTAGATCATCTTGCTGTGGGTGGCTTAGATTATGTCAGATATTAATGGCCAACTTGTTGAATGCTTCGTCTGTCTGATTAAGATCATTAGATGATTGTGTCATTTGGGTAGGTTGTGCCAACATCCTTATCTTTGACAATTGTTGTCCTCATCGTTGATTAAGGATGGATCTAAGGGCTTCCATACATTCTGTAGATCTCTTTCTAAAAGGTGATTTTACAATGGCTTTGGTTACGTGACATTGTCCCCTTATCTAACGGACCTTTTGGCTATTTGGGCTTTTCCGTTGGGACATCCTGCTTGGCTGGGCTAGGGTTTGGGCCAATGTTTTAAGTAGGTAGCTGCACTGCGACCAGCTTGTCTCAGAGTCCCGAGCTGAGTCCCCACTCAAAGTGCCTTACCTTGTCTGTTTCATTGGCCACTATAGCTGTGGCATGGCGAGAAAGGGCCTCAAACTGATTGGCATACTGTGTCACAGTCATGCCCCCTTGTTTTAGTTGGAGAAATTCTTGGATCATCTCTTGCCTCACCGAGTTTGGGAATTTCTTTTCAATAAACAATTCCTCGAACTGTCTCCAAGATAGTTCTGCCACTTGACGACTTTCCTTGATCATTGTCCACCAAAAATCGGCCTCCCCCTCAAAGAGAAATGAGGCGAGGGACACTTGGTCTTGCTCATTCTGAATTTCTAGCGTCTCCAATATTTTCTTCACTTGCCTTATCCATGTCGAGTAGCGATTGGGTTCTTCGAAAAATTTTTGGGGCTTGAGTTTTTGAAATTTCGCTATTAATTCTACCTTGTTTCAGGCCTGGGTTGGTTTCTTAGTTCATTAATAATTGCCCGAACAAAATTCATGACGTCACTGCTGGTGTTGTTGTTGTTGTTGTCATTGAATCCATTTCCCCTAGTTCTTCCTGCCATTTTCTGCATGAAGGATATTAATTGTTTACTATCAGCACGATGTAAGTACTTATTTAATTATTTATTTTATGCGAACAAGCATTCACTAAGTTTAACTAGAATTGAAACTTTTCATTGCAACAAATGATCGGTTACATGACCAAAAATTACATTTATCACTAGACCGAGGGGATTATTTCACCCCATTTCATAACCACTATTAGACTAGGCTTTTACAATGAAATTCCAACAAAATAGTTCATCCGCCTAGTCTACCCTCTTCAGTCTTTCCTCTCAAACAAAAAGCCATGGGTAGTGCTGATGCATTTGCCAGGCATGTTCCCAACTCTCATCATATAGCCCATAGCACTTCCAACGGACTAACAACTTGAGCCCTCTTATTCTCGCATGTTGGCCCAAGATCCTTACAAGAACTTCGTCGTAGGTGAGTGGGTCGGAGAAGTCGACTGTCCCGTTCGTGGGTACGAGCTTTCCAACCGGTGGGGCTGTCAGGAAGATGTCTCGTTGGTGGAAGAAATTGGTGTAATTGTCTTCCAGGGCTGGTGGTAGCGGTCCTACTTCATACATGGCCCTTGCCAACTCCCAGATAACTCGCACATGCCCCAGATATTTGTCGTCCCCCCTTCCGTGTTTCCATTCGCAAGGTATTAGTGGTTCTAGCTTAACATATGCCTCTAGCCCTATCGGGAATGCCCTCATCTACACTACGTTCCCCGAGTCCGTTTCACCTTCTTCGAAGGCATATTCAATTGAGGAGATGGGGTTGGACTCAATGTCACTTCCCGCCCAACCAAACTCTTCCGACGGAATGGCGGCCAAGGGTTCCACGACTTCCACTTCCGCGTCTACCTCTGCGTCTTCTTCGTCTAGCGGTTCTTCTTTTGGATATTCCTCCGGATCTTTCTCCTCAGGCTCGGGCTCCTCTTCATTCTCTTTATCCATCGTCTCCTCATGGACTGACTTTGAAGTTTTCGTCCCTGCCTCTGGGTCGGTTAATAAGGGTTCTTGTTCAGGTTCGGGATCCGAGAGCCAGTCCTCGTTATGAGATGGGCTTGACATCCTACAAGGAGAATACAACGTTATTACACTCTCAGTATGGTCTTAGGTCATCGAATGTTTTTTAATTAAAGTGTAGTAAATGACACGTGCTTAAGTAACATTTGAATATTTGACCAAGGGGGAGTCAGAATTGCCCGTGGTCATTGCTTAGCGGTTGAGTGGAAATAGTGCTCCGCGGGGAGTTACTTAAACTTACCTGTTAAACTAAATCTATGTGAATTTAAAAAGAAAGGTTGGCATTTTTCCTTATTATGAAATACTGCTTCCGCTTGCCATTGTTTTTATTGTCTATTGTTAATATTTCAACCAATAGCATTCTGGTTATGTTTGTTAAATGTTGCTTGTTATTCTGTTATTACACAATATTTATTATTTGTGAGTATTATTATCGGGGTGGGTATTTTCGGGTTGTAGTATCTTGCTCGTCGCTCATTGACATTTCCATTGCCCTGGCGTTTTATGCCAGGTATCAAAGAAACCGAAGGAAGCGCCGAGGCCTTGCAAGGCAACATTCAGCCTTTGTTAGCTTGAAAAATGCCCACGATTCCATGAACCATTTTCCTAGTTTTATTTTTTTATATTTATATTTGTGTTTTTTTTTTTTTTTTTTTTTTTTTCTAAGACTAAGTTTTAAGTTTATTTGGAGTTATAACTTAAGAACTTTTAATTTATGGGATGTTAGTTAATAGATGTTGGTAAACTTGGTGGCAACATTAAGGAAGAGTCCTTAATTAAGAAAATTAAATTTTAAGTTTTAAATCTTATTATGATGTCCTTAAATTTTGGGACGTCACAACATGGTATCAGAGTTTAGGTCTAGAAACCCTTGAGACCTTGGGTAGGCTTAAGCATGTATCATTTACTACACTTTAATTAAAAACATTTGATGACCTAAGACCATACTGAGAGTGTAACAACGTTGTATTCTCCTTGAGAATGTCAAGCTCATCTCATAACGAGGGCTGGCTCTCGGATCCCGAACCTGAAGAAGAACCCTTATTAACTGACCCAGAGGTAGGGGCAGAAACTTTAGAGTCAGTCCATGAGGAAGAGGACCCGGATGAGGATCTAGAAGAGGAGACGATGGATGAAGAGGAACCCGAGCCTGAGAAGGAAGATCCGGAGGGATATCCAGAAGAAGAACCGCTAGACAAAGAAGACGCAGAGGTAGACGCGGAAGTGGAAGTCGTGAAACCCTTGGCCGCCATTCCGCAGGAAGAGTTTGGTTGGGGGGGAAGTGACATTGAGTTCAACCCATCTCCTCAATTGAATATGCCTTCGAAGAAGGTGAAGCGGACTCGGGGAACGTAGTGCAGAAGGGGGCATTCCCAATAGGGCTAGAGGCGTATGTTAAGCTGGAACCACTAATACCTTGTGAGTGGAAACACCGAAGGGGGGACAACAAATATCTGGGGCCTGTGCGAGTTATCCGAGAGTTGGCAAGGGCCATGTATGAAGTAGGACCGCTACCACCAGCCCTGGAAGACAATTACACCAATTTCTTCCACCAACGAGACATCTTCCTGGCATCCCCACCGGCTAGAAAGCTCGTACCCACGAACGGGACAGTCGACTTCTTCGACCCACTCACCTACGAAGAAGTCCTTGTAAGGATCTTGGGCCAACATGCGGGAATAGGAGGGCTTAAGCTGTTAGTCCGTTGGAAGTGCTATGGGCTGTATGATGAGAGTTGGGAGCATGCCTGGCAAATGCATCAGCACTACCCATGGCTTTTTGTTTGAGAGGAAAGACTGAAGAGGGTAGACTAGGCGGGTAAACAATTTTGTTGGAATTTCATTGTAAAAACCTAGTCTAATAGTGGTTATGAAATGGGGTGAAATAATGTCCCCGGTCTGGTGATAAATGTAATTTTTGGTCATGTAACCGATTCTTTGTTGCAATGAAAAGTTTCAGTTCTAGTTAAACTTAGTGAATGCTTGTTCGCATAAAATAAATAATTAAATAAGTACTTACATCGTGCCGATAGTAAATAATTAATATCCTTCATGCAAAAAATAGCAGGAAGAACTAGGGGAAATGGATTCAATGACAACAACAACGACAACACCACCAATAGTGACGTCATGAATTTCGTTCGGGCAATTACCAATGAACTAAGAAACCAACCCAGGCGTGAAAACAGCAAGGCAGAGTTAATAGCGAAATTTCAAAAACTCAAGCCCCAGAAATTTTTCGGAGAACCCAATCCCTACTCGGCATGGATAAGGCAAGTGAAGAAAATATTGGAGACGCTAGAAATTCAGAATGAGCAAGACCAAGTGTCCCTCGCCTCATTTCTCTTTGAGGGGGAGGCTGATTTCTGGTGGACAATGATCAAGGAAAGTCGTCAAGTGGCAGAACTATCTTGGAGACAGTTCGAGGGATTGTTTATGGAAAAGTACTTCCCAAACTCGGTGAGGCAAGAAATGATCCAAGAATTTCTTAAACTGAAACAAGGGGGCATGACTGTGACACAGTATGCCAATTGGTTTGAGGCCCTTTCTCGCCATGGCACAGCTATAGTGACAAATGAAACAGACATGGTAAGGTGCTTTGAGTGGGGACTCAACTCAGGACTCCGAGACAAGCTGGTCGCAGTGCAGCTACCTACTTATGTGCAGGTAGTAGATAGGGCTCTTGCTCTAGAAAGAGAGAAGATGGACACTGCAAGGACTCAAGGTCAGCAGTCTAGAGCCAACCAGCAAAGAAGCGAAGGACCCTCAAGGAACAATAGGACCCCTGCTGCTTCGATACCTTATGCTAGGAGGGCACAACAACAGCAAGGGTATAATCCTGAACAGCGTAGTAGGGAAGGGGCTAGGAGGTGTTATGAATGTGGCCAAGAAGGGCACCTTAGAAACAACTGTCCTCAAAGGTTAGGCTACTACATTAATCAAGGAGGGGCCACTCAACGAAACAGATGGAACAGAGCATACCAAAGAAATGTGCAGCTATCTGTGAGGAAGTAAAGATGAGCATTAGGTGTAAGTATCAAATTCTTTAAAAATGGTATGCATCCGATTACCATCGATAAAATCTGAAACAAAGTCATACATACCAAACTTTAGAGACAGCACAGAGAGAGAAAAGAGTAGAGCGAAAGAGAGCAGACCGAGAGAGAGAGAGGGCAAATAGAGAGAGGGGTACGTACCGATGATGAGGAGACCAGCGGTGGTGAGCGGAGAACAGCAACGGCGAGTGAAGAGCAGTGGCGATTGGCGATGGTGTTTGGGTGTGAATGAGAGCAGCGGCAATCGGCGATGATGTTTGGGTGTTTGGGTGTGAATGAGAGCAGCGGCGAATCAGCGATGATGTGTGAATGAGATGAGATGTTTTGGGCATCAATTAGGGCTAATTAAGGAAGTATTGCGTGTGAGAGAGTATATTTACATTTGTTGCCATGTGTTTGTATTGTATATACAGCAGTAGACTTTGAAATATTGATAGGTGGGTTGGGTTGGTTGTTTACGTGAGTTGGCAATTTTCAAACCGCCACCCGCGCCGACCCGCCACTCTTGGAAGTCCCACCCGTCCAACCCGCTCGCCAGAGTTGAAAAAATGTACGGTTCGGAGCAGTTCGGAGCAATTCAGAGCGGTTTTGGCGGTATTGTGCACAGCCCTAACTACGGCATTGTGATCGTAATTGACGTCATTGATCTTGGAGCTGACGACGGCTTTGATTTCTACGTTCTACCTCACCTTCGGGAGAATATTGAGGAGGTAGCACCTGAAGTAGAACATCCTCAAGAGGAGTCATCTAGCTCGGAGGCTGCTATATCGGACATCATGCCGCCGAATAATATTTTGGAGATCGTTACCACTAGGAAGCGTCAAAGGGATGGTGAGTCTGCCTCAGCCTTCCAAGCTGTTCTGATTCTACCACTTCTGATCGGCCCCAGCAATCACTAATTGTGGTAGTAGATGATTCTCCTCCTCCTCCTGCCGCAACCACTACTGAGAACACTCCTTCCAAACCTTCAGGCCAGAGATCGGGCAAGTGTCCTGCTGATCAAGCAACTCCGTAAGAAGATCCTTCTGTTGTTGTTGCTCCTTCTCCAGCCTCTATTTCGGAGATGGCAGCCATTGGTTCTTTGATCATCCTTTTGCTTGCTATGAAGGATCGTCAAATAACCAATGCTGACACGGCTATGGGTAACGCTAAAGTCGCTTCTGAAATTATCCGCACCTATGCAGACGCTGCTTGGTTGGCTGAGCAGTCTGATGTAGGCATTTTCTCGCAGGTCTTACCATCATCTTGTTTTAAGGTGTTTGTGAATTTCTGTCAACCTTATGCCTTTCTTTCTTTTGTTTTTACAAGGTCTATTCTGTGCCTACAAGGCCATGGTTCACCATGACAAAATAATCAAGGCAGCTGACAAACTAAAGGCCTCAACGGATAGGCAAACTGAGAGGGTAAAGCAGCTTGAACTTCGGTTAGGGACTTTGAAGGGCAAGGTGGTAGAGGCTGAGACGAAGCTTCAGACGATGGATTCGCTGCTGAAGTCTTCATCATAGGAGATTACTGTCTTAAATGAGGAAAATGAGCAACTCTCTGCTACCCTTACTGCTTCTAAGGAAAGCCTTGCCGACGAGGTCAAAGCTGCCAAGGAGGAAGGATGTAATGAAGCCACTGTCATTTATAAAGTGCAGTTTGCCAAATTGGGGAATATGCTATTTGAAGACGACTGGATGTTTGCACTTCAAGTTACCAATTTCCCAATGGAGTCCGAGTTGAGGAAGAACATTCCTTACCCTTGCCCAGATGTTGTGGAAAAACCAAGTGGAGAGACTGCCGAAGGGGCTGGAATTGAAAACCTTCCTACAGTAGGGTGATGAACTGAACTGATGTTTTTGTTTTTGTTTTTTCTTTTGTTTGTTGCCCTTTCTTTTATTATTTATTATTTATTATTTATATTTTTACAAAAACAATTGATGTATGTTTTTCTTTGATGTTTTTAAAAATTTTATGCTATGGAATTATTCTGCTTAGTCTTATTTTTCATTTTTGCATTACTTTCGATCGTGTGAATGGAGAGTTGCCTGTTTAGTTAGGACATCTATTTTTTGTTGTTGCTGATATACACTAAAAAAACCTTTGTTTTGGTGAACCTCCATAGGCTCACCTTGATTTAGAAAATCTTAGTGGGTCTGTTCCTTGCTCCAAGCAAGTGATCGGCATCGTCTTTGTTGATGTAATATCCCTGAGATAGGTTGTTTAGAAGAACCCTCATAGGTCTGCTCCTTGCCCCAAGCAAAAGATTGGCATCGTCCTTGCCGATATACTATCCCTGGGATAGGTTTTTTTAGAAGAACCCTCGTAGGTCTGTTCCTTGCCCCAGGCAATATATTGACATCGTCTTTACCGATGTTCTATCCATAGGATAGGTTTTTTTAGAAGAATCCTCATAGGTTTGTTTCTTGCCCTAAGCAAGAGATCGGCATCGTGTTTGCCGACGTACTATCCCTGGCATTGTGCATGCAAGTAGAATTCTCTTCCTAATTCCTTTCCAAAACTTTATAAACATGGAATTCACTCACAAAACTTGGTCAAATATGCATGCATGTTCAATTTCATGCTCCAAATTCAACATAGAGGATGAAACTCATAATCAAAATGATAGTCTAACACTTATATATATATATATATATATGCATGTATAGATTCAACTCTATCTTAGCCTTCTATGGCAAAATACATGTTAACTCCATGGGTTCAACATTAAAACACATAATCTACAAGAATTGATGATCAAAAGCTTACCTAGAGTCTTGAACTACTCTTGTTCTAGCTTAATCTTGATGGATTCTAGCAAGTCTTTGAAATTCTTCTTCAATTTCTTCTTTTCTCTCTCTAAAAGCTCTCTCAAGAATTTTCCACTTAGAATGAAGAGTTTTGAGCTCAAATGAGCTTAAGATTCATATATATATATAGTTATGATGCTATAATACATTAATTAGAACATTAGGCTTGCCAAATACAACTAAATTAATCAAACTGAATCAATTTTTAATTAAACTCACCAAATGGTTCTAAAAATTCTAATTAGCCTATTCATGTAGCCAATTTTGGTTTTTGACGTCATTAAGCCATCAATTTTAAATTTTTGAACAGAAATCAGAACAGATAATTTTCGAATTAGACATATATGTACAAATTTCACATGGCTCATTTCACAATTGAAGTTTAACACATAATTAATTATAATCATGATTAGCATTTTCTCCATTTCGAATAAATGGAGAAAATTATCATAGAATTGGCTCACTGCTTCCATTACCAGGGGAGAAACCTAAATTTGCCCAATACATCTACGATACTGAATATGAAATACAAAATCACTTGGCTGTCTTAAGCAACAAGGGTATTGTACCGGGAGTGAATATTTCAATATTATAAGGATTGCAGCAAATGTTGAACATAATATATCCTTATGTGAAGGTGTTCCAAAATGCAGAAATTTGTTAGGCAAACAAAATGTCTGACATTTACATTTGCGTATGTTGCACTCACGGGATGGAAAACAATATGTAAAGCCATCTGCGAACGAAATAGTTGCATTAATTGTTGGTGATGGGACGAGACATGTAGAATATCATGATATCATTCATTGTTCATAAGTGTGATGGAAGTTTAAAGAGGATAAATGAAACTCATCCATCATAAATGCCACTACAATACCCTCTACTTTTTCCTTATGGTACAGTTGGATGGAGAAGATGCATATCTTTTAGTGACACTTCAAATAATTCTCGAAAAAGGATATCAATAAGAGAATTTTATGCATTCAGATTGCAGTATTGAGAAATTGAAGGGAAAACACTACTTCAAGGGTGGCGTTTGGTCCAACAATTTGTGGTTGATTGTTATGCTGCCATTGAATAATGTAGTTTGATTTTTATCAAAACCCATCAATCTGAGTTACGTGCAGATTTGTATCAAGGCTTAGAAGATGCAGTGGTTGCTGGCGATGTTGATGCATCGACAATAGGAAGAAGATTTGTGTTGCCTTCATCGTTTATTGGAGGGCTACGCAACATGGTTCAATATTATCAGGATGCCATAGCGATATGTCAATCTATTGGACCACTTGATCTTTTTATTACATTTACATGCAATCCTAAGTGGCCAGAAATACAAAATGAACTTGCACGAATAACTAGTTAACATGCAAATGATAGACCTGATTATTGCATGAGTTTTTTGAATCAACATAAGACAATTGATGGTAGATTTGACGAAAAATAAGTTCTTTGGCACATTACTAGCAAGTATCAATACAATTTTCAAATATTCAATATCAATTTTTCAATTTCCCTAATAGGTAGTTTATATACTTGTCTTTTTTTTAATGATGCAATTGCACAGATATTTCTGTAATTGAATTCCAGAAGCGAGGATTGCCACATTCACACACTATTCTAACATTAGCACTAGAAAATAAGCTAACTACAGCTGAAGAAATTGATGAAATCATTTGTGCAGAGTTGCCAGATAA